GAGGTTTCTTAATCAAGAAGAAAGGAGGAGAAACCCTAAGAGAGAAAATATCAGATTTCGAACCAAGGGTTGTAAGCAAGAAAGCATCCTGCGAATTGATATTAGATCTCATTCACACTCCAGAGAGAAGAGAAGCAATTCAGCTATATTCGTCCTAGGAGTTCTCCTCCAGCCGCCGCCATTCCTTCTTGCAAGATTCGATCTTTGAAGAAGAAAGAAATCAAGAAATCAATTCTTGACATCAGTCTTGCAAAAGGACTGTAAAAGATTTGGTGCTCAGAGTTTCCAGAGGGTTCTTGAGAAGGATCCAGTTTGTAGGACGCACTCTGTTAGTTCCGTTCCACCTACAACTGTGTCATCTTCAGCAGAAGCGGATCTTGGTGTCCTCTTTGGGCGTGAACACCAACTTTGGGAGATACTGCTTCTTCGGATCAGGTATAATCCTCCCTTTTCCTTTTGGTTCAGATCTGGTTCGATTATGGTTCAAGCAGGACCCTTGAATATTGTATTCTAAATTTAGGGAATACGATTCCCAGTTGAGAGAAGGTAGGAAAATTTTTGAAATTTGCCCACCCATTCCGCAATCTTTTGGCATCCATTAGATGGATCCTACCATTCTTTCAGGAGCCTTAGGTGGGCTTCTAGAACAGCTTGCCATTTTAGCAGCTAGTTCCAGACACTATTGGGTCCCAGTTGTTGATTCATCTCAAGCTACATGAATGAGTTCTAACAATCTCCCATTTAACTGAGATGAATATTTCTGTTTACTTTATATGGCCATTAATGACCCAGTATGATAAACCTAAGGGTATTCATTCCATTCAGTTGAAATGGCTATCTAAAATCATCAAAGTCACTTGACTTCTATTAATTTAACTCAAGACCATTGATGGTTATAGAGTTAGCAACTTCAACCAATATGAACAAACTGCATACAATGCTTAGACAACCTAAGCATAGCCTATATATCTCTGTCTCATGTTATGTGTACACATTTAAATTGAGAGAAAGATTAGAGATATGTTTATCAGAATTAGTAACTTTATTGTGACCACATGCAGTGGTGTCAATAAGAATCATCACACTCAATACATATCCAATTTATCAAAATTGTCCACCAACCCTATGCGCGCTACATGCTCCAAAAAGAGCTTGGGTGGAAGTCCCTTCGTTAATGGATCAACTACCATGAGTGTAGTACTAATATGTTCTATTGACATAGTCTGATCCTAAACCCTTTCCCTCACAACGAGGTACTTAATGTCAATGTGCTTTGACCCTGTTCTTGTCTTGTTATTCTTTGAGAAAAACACGACAGCAACATTATCACAATAAATCCTCATCGGTCTATGAATCGAGTCCACTACTCGAAGACCTAAGATAAAATTACGCAACCATATGGTATGAGTAGTTGCTTCATAACAAGCTATGAATTCTGCTTAGTAGATGAAGAAGTTCTTGTAGTTTGTTTTGCACTTCTCAATGAAATAGTCCCTTCCGCCATCATGAAGATATAACTAGAGGTAGATGCATGAGTATCCCGACATCTAGCAAAGTCAGAATCAGTATATCCTATTACCTCCAAATTTTTTGAGTGCTTTTAAATAAGCATATAATTCTTAGTTCCTTGTAAATAGCGCATGACTTTCTTGGCTACCTTCCAATGGTCGATACTATGATTCTTTTGGTATCTTCTAAGCAAACCAACAACAAATGCTATATCAGGACGGGTATACACACATGCGTGCATAAGACTTCCCACGGCTGATGCATAGGGAATGTTGTTCATCTGCTCTTGCTCTAACTGGTTCTTAGGGCATTGAAGTAAATTGAATTTATCTCCTTTTACCATAGGGGCAGCAGTGCTAGCACAATTTTGCATGTTAAATCTTTTAAGCACCTTTTCTATATATGCTTTCTAGGTTAATCCCAAGATACTACGGGACTGATCTCGGAAAATCTGAATGCCTAAAACATAAGATGCCTGCTTCAAACCATAAATGGATTTCTTTAATTTGCAGACTAAACTTTTCTTGCAGTCTCTTTCAAAACTTTCTGGTTGTTACATGTAGAATTCTTCATGCAGATCTCCGTTTAGATCAAAATGAGCAACCAGGGCCATAACTATCCTAAATGAGTTATTCTTTGTTACTAGAGAGAAGGTCTTTGTATAGTCTATTCCTTCTTTTTGAGTGTATCCTTTTGCAACGAGCCGGGCTTTATATCTTTCAATGTTCCCCTAAGAGTCTTGTTTGGTTTTAAAAATCCATTTACAACCTATTGGCTTAACTCCTTCAAGTAGAACAACGAGATCCCAGACATCATTATTTTTCATGGATTCAAGCTCATCATTCATGGCTTCTAACCAATGAGATGGTTCCCTTGAGTTGATGGCCTCAATAAGTGATACAGGATCATTTTCTAAATTTAACTCATGCTCATTTAAATAGACTTCATAGTCATTTGATATTGCCGATCTCTGGACTCTTTGAGATCTTCTAAGTGGGATTTGTTCTTCTGGCACTGTATTTTCAGTAATTTCATTATTCTAGACACCTTGTGTATTAGTCTCAAGAGTTTCAATTTGTACAACTCTTTCCTATATAACTGGTATAGGTATGATCATTAGATTTTCCTGAAAGGTGATTTGCCTAGATCTAGAGCTCTCACTAGAATTCCAAAATTCCAGAAATTTAGCTTGCCTAGATTCCACAATTCTAGTATTCAAAGTAGGGCAAAAGAATTTATAACCCTTAGATCTTTCAGGGTAACCAACAAAATAACCACTAATTGTCTTGGGATCTAGTTTACCTGATTATGGGTTATGCACTTTTACCTTAGCTGGACAACCCCAAATACGTAAATACCCTAATTTGGGTTTCCTACCAGTCCATAATTCATATGGGGTATTAGGGATTGCTTTAGTAGGAACCTTGTTGAGAATATGTACAGTTGTCTTTAAGGCTTCTCCCCATAAATTCTCAGGTAGACTTGAATTACACAGCATACTTCTTATCATGTCCATGAGAGTACGGTTTCGTCGGTCTGCTACTCCATTCTGCTCAGGTGTACCTAGCATGGTGTAGTTTGCAACAACCCCATGCTCTCGTAAAAATAAGGCAAAAGCACTTGGATTTTGGCTTGTTTCAGTGTATCTACCATAATATTCACCTCCTCTATCAGACCATACACTTATGATCTTCTTATTAAGTTGATTTTCAACTTCTGTCTTGAATATCTTGAAAACATCAAGTGCTTATGATTTCTCATGAATCAGATACACGTAACTATATTTGGAGAAATCATCTATAAAGGTAATGAAGTATCTGTGTGTCCTCCCACAGTAGGAGTAGGGAATGGTCCACAAATATCTGTATGTATTGTTTCCAATAACTCTACACATCTTGTGGTTCCCCTTTTAGTGGTTTTGGTGAATTTTCCCCTTATGCAATCCACACATATGTCAAAGTCAGAATAATCCAGCGAACTGAGGATTCCATCTTTTGTGAGACGTTCCATTCTTTCTTTAGAAATGTGACATAATCTTTTATGCTACAGAATTGATGATTTCTCATTCACTTGATTTCTTTTAATTCCGACCATATAGTTTTCATGCAAACTATATGGGCCATGAACAAAGATATGGTGCAAATTAATCTTATAAAGATTTTCGCATAACACACCACACCCAACTTTAATAGAATTATGGAGTAGAGTAAAACTTTTGTTTTTAAACTTAAATTCAAAGCCATAGGAATCAAGTTTAGGAACTAAGATAAGATTTATCTTAAATGTAGGTACATATAGTGTATCTACTAAGTCTAGATGAAAGACGGTATCCAAAATGAGACGATATGTCCCTATGGCTCCAACATCTATCTTTATTCCATTGCCAACGACTATGGTGCGCTCTCCCTTATGCAGCCATTGACTTGTTAGAAAGCTCTGCAGAGAAACCGTGACATGAGTTGTAGCGCCCGTATCCACCCACCAAGGATTAGAAGGTGCGCTAACCAAATAGGATTCAGAAAACATAAAGGCATAATTCTTACCTTTCTTTACGTGTCCCTTCTTTTTACAAAAGAAGCAACGAGCTTTGTGATCCCCACTTTCCGCAGCAACAGCCTTTTCTTTGCCCTTTCTCTGAGTTTTTTTCCTAAAATGTCTCTTATGTGGTCTAGTGGTTAGGTGAGCACTTTCAAGCATTTCACTCTTAAGCCTTTCTTCTTCTTGAACACACATGGCGATTAGCTTGCTCATTTTTCATTTCTCTTTCTGCGTATTATAGTTGATCTTAAAGGCACCAAATTGTGCAGGAAGAAAAGTCATAATGAAGTGCACAAGGAAACCTTCGGATATTTCCATATCCATTCCATTTAGTTTGTTCGCCATGTCACGCATTTTCATAATGTGCTCATGTATCCCACTGCGACCATCATATTTCATGGTGATCATTTCGATCATGAGGGTACTTGCCAATGTTTTTGTTGAGCCAATAAAGTGTTTTTCTACTACCTTCAAATAATCCATTGTGCTTTCCTTTTCAGGAATTGCACCACGGATTGCAATAGAAATGGTGCTCCTTATGATCATGAGACTCGTGCAATTAGAACGTTCCCACTTTTCATAAAGTGCCTTTTGCTCACCAGTACTGGCACTAGTGATTTCAGTGGGTTTGTCTGTTCTAATTGCAAGATCCAAATCCATGCACCCTAGAACAATCATAATCTGGTCTTTCCACTTGTTAAAGTTTGTACTAGTTAATATTTCAATGCCTGATAGACAACCAATAACCATTGCTGGATTAACAACTACAAGTTTCATAGCATACAAAATGTCATGCCACATAAAATACACACATATCAATAATCTAACTTAAAAATGGGGTAATCATTAGTTAGATCTCATCAAGACCATTGCATAATTCTAATTAGGTCTTGACCCAAGATCGATGTAGGATATTGTTCCTCTGTTGGGCTGAACGATAATTCTATAAATGGTCTCGATGGTCCAGACTAAGTAAGTGATTCTGTCGGTTGGGTAAATTCATCACCGTTGGGTTACAAGTTTCCCCAAGCAGAACCCCCTATTTAGTATTTCTATCCCACTCTAACTATTCAAAGTAGCGTCCTTCCGTTGGGCCGATCCGCTACCCATCGTAGTTAAATGCAAATATGTGACTTATTTATAGAGGAGAACCTCACAAACACGTCCAATTAAAGACAATATATATACATACATACATATATATATATATAGGTTCATTTTGATTAAAATTTTGAAAAAGAGTATACAATAGGGTCCTCTCTGATCCCTCCAAATTTCAGCTCAATCCGAGGTCGGAAGCCACTTAAACCGGCCTCAAGAAGTCATCAATATGATAGTGAACCAGAAGATCAGTCACTGAACCGGTCTAATATCTCCTTATGCAAAGGGCTTTTTGTCTGCAATTTCATACATAATAGGATCATAGGGTCTAGTGGGGGCCCACAAAATATCAGCTAAATCGGAGTTCAAAAACCCCTTGAACCGGCCACATAATTGTGATGTTGTCATAGTATGTTGGGTTGATCCGAACCAGACCATATTCAGACCGAACCGGGTTGGACCGGTCGGAAACGGGTCAAACCGGAATTATACATCGTAAGTTTACCAGGTCGGGCGGGGCGGTCATCCGGAAACCCGACCCTCAGGCTTCACCTTCTTCACCCAAATTTGGTGCTACTATGTTCACTCGACTGAGCGAACACAGTAGCACCGAACAGGTGTTGAAGGGCGGCCGGTCGTCGGCGAACGATCGGAATGTCACCTACGACCACCCAGAAGGTCTTTTCCGGCAATAAAACGGCTGGAAATAGTTGGAATCCGGCGATTTTCAGGTTTGAGATTCCTTCAGAAACAGAGAAAAAAAGAGCAAAGCTTCCGCCGTTTCAGAGCATAGAGTGGCTCTGATACCAATTGTAAGATATAATGATGACTTTTGAACATGAAAGAAGTATCATAGAAGTTTTCTTTGCTCTAGAAATGGACTGAAGTAAATAAAACCGACCTTGAGCTATTGATATAAAGTTGGCGTCCATGGCTCTATTCCGACATTAGAGACCTTCAGGAACACCTCTTCTAGCTTTTTTAGTTACTTTTGCTCTCCTCTCTGTAAGAAAACGAACCGGAGAACATTTTGCTCATTGCTGAACTGTAAAACCTGAAAAAACAGAGTACAATCGAGACTCTTCTCTCTAGTCACGGTTGCTCTCAACCGATGGATGGCTAGTCTGTGTGTATAGGGTCCTATTTATAGAGATGAAACCGCCTAGAGAGGGGCCTTCCTTCATGGTTAAAGAACTGTAAAACCAGAGGCTCCATTAACCTCTGTTTTACAAACCATCAGATATGAAACCGTGTACTCCCTCTCTCAGTGGGAGCCTTAGGTGGGCTTTTAGAATAGCTTGCTACAGCTACTTCCAGACATTACTGGGTCCCAATTGTTGATTCATCTCAAGCTACATGAATGAGCTCTAACATTGCACCCATTCATCAACTCATCAAAATACCAAAAACATAACAAAAAAATGAATTCAAAGAAAAAGTCATATTATCACATTATCACATGATATATATAATGAGTCAATGAGAGAGCAAATAATACTTGAAAATTGAAATCCATGGGTAAATAGAGGAAGTCGAAAGCCAACGGCAAATCCTCCTCCTCTACGACTGCGGGTCTCTTTAACTTCTCATCCACCTTCATACAGTGCTCATCAAGAAAACTCATCAACATCTGCCGACTGTCAAACCCAACAACGATATAGAATTAAGGGGAGCGACTTGGACAAAATCCCGTTAATACAATGTTAGAATTGGAGACCACAGCTTGTTCAGGCGCTGTAGACGATCTGACGCTCGTTGAAGAGTTGTAGAAGAAAATTCCGTCGCAGTGAACATACGATTGAGCAGGGGCAACGGAAGGGAGAGAAAAGGTTGGCATTGTAGGTAAAGAACTAAAGTAAAGGTGGTGAATAAGAGAGAGGAAGTAGGGTGTTGAACATGGAGTTTGTCGGTAGAGGGAACAAGGAGGAATGATAGGAAAAGGGATGTTGGAAACCACAGAATTCTTAGAAACGAACTCTGTGCCTCAGGATTTAGAGGAGCCATTCTGGGTTTGTCCTAGTGTAAAGTGTTGACAGTAATTGAAGCTTCGTAAATGCAAATTGCAGAGAGAGAAGAAATACAGAGCAGATGAAAATGAACGATCAGAACAATGAGATGGGAAGGTTCATTTGAAAATGAACGACGAGAACAGTACGAAGGTTCATTCTTCAGTGTTGGTCGCTGCCGGTTGGAAAGGGAGAGAGTGTGGAAAGGATGAGTTCGGTTCGGTGCGGAGAGAGTGAGAGTTGAAGGAGTCTGATGAGACAGGAAGCGGGAATTAGAGGAACTCGCTAACGACGATTAATCACTTCGCACGTTTCAAGTATGCATACGTTTTCAGGACGCGTGGCGCGCCCTCATGCTGTGTGAATGGTACGCGCAGGCAGAAGCCGGACACCTAAAACACCCCCACTGGGCCTGTCTAATCACCAAAATACCTCGCAAGTCGCAAGTCAGCAGGGATTCCGATAAAAGTGAACGGATATCTGACACCAGCGGACTAGTTCGGTCTGCTTACAGCTTACACTCTGTCTGTCTGCCATGGTGGCCATGTTTTGCTTTGGCTGCACTTCTGTCTTGTCTCTTCCCACTAAACCCCATCGCTTGATCTTTCCTTACTCTGCAAATGACGCTTCTCAGATAGGGAAGAACCTCCCCTTCTCCACAACGACCGCCAGCCTCAATACATTCTCCTCTGCTCTTGCCACAGTTGCTGCTATTACTGCTTCTGCGTTGCCCTTCGACGTCTCTCCTCCGCCCATCGATCATGACCTTCTCGTACGCTTTCTTTTCTGTTATAATTCAAAAGTTCCGCACATATAACGGTAGTCCTAGTTGATACTTGATACTTGATACCGGTACTGATTTTGTTGATTGTATATAGAAGTAATAACCATTGGTCTGCTAGAAATATGGGGTGGGGGCAGGAATTGTTGCAACATTTCAATCTGATGGAAAATCTAGCTGAACTTTTTTCTGATTATTTGTAGCTTAATTTAAGAGCTTCTATTGCAGTTAAATCTTTTCAGCAATTCAGTCGGCATATGCATATGTTATGATGTCTTTTTTGAATTTCATTTTCTTGTCTAATTTCGCTGTTTTCTGAAAATTTGAGGGTTAATTCCTGATTTTGAAGTGGGTAGACGCCTTTAGGCCAGTAAGTGTTATGGTGAGTTTGTTTTTTGAGTAGTTAAAGCATTGCAGAGAGATTACTAATCCTTTTTACGGGGGTTCAATTCTGATGTCATATTTGGCTTTTGGTTTTGTTCTGCTATTTATTTTCACTGAAAGCATTGTCAACTACTTTCGGAATTGAGCCCAATTCTGGGAAACTGAGCTTAAAGGAGTAGCGAACATATTTACTGAGGGTGCTTTAGTAATTTTCCAAGTCTAGAGAAATCTATACGAATTGATTTTGAGATTATAATTTGTGAAAAAGAATCAAGAATAATATATTTCATTTTGGTTTCTTAGTTCAAGCTTATAGAAGACCTAAAGGAGGAACAAGTGTGATCATGTTCCTAATAACTGAACTTGTAATTGTTGAAGGAAAGTCCTCACTCCTTTCTATTCCTCTGTCCTTATGTTTGCTTGATGCCTTTTCCTTTCAAAAATGATAGAGGTTCTACTGAATCTTTCTATTTCAAACTAGTAAGTTATCCTATTTAATGGTTACTTCCAGATGGTATTCAATTGTTTCAAGGAAATAAATAAATTCTATCATATACAAGGGAAATCAATCTTGAGTGCTGTCACAGATGCAGTTAGTTCTTACGAAGAGAAGGAAGATATTCATATGGTCTTTATTAACTTAAATAAAGCATACAATATTGTTCATAGAGAAGGATCTTTTACCTATATATTTATTGTTAATACTTTTTTTATGCTCCTGAGAAAGAAATGACTCTTTAGATGTATTAATACGATAAAAGATGCCATGCAGAGAATTACTAGTAAAAATGGTGTATAGACATGTGATTTCTCAGTTTTAAGTCTTAGAAGAAAGTTATCTGAAATTTCTTGGAAATTTATTTAGTCTTTTAGTAAGGGGCTATTTCTTGGTGCAATGGTAAAATCTATTGTTAGCAAATTTGAGAACATGGGTTCAAATCTCATTTTGTGCAAAAAATGCTAAAGTTTTGGTCCATATCCAGCCTACTTTTGAACCCCTCTCCTGAGGACCTGGATAGCTTTGACCAGCATTGGATAATGCCTTTATTTTGTCACAACTATGTTTCAGAGTAAGTTGTAATGCTGTTCTTTTGCCCCCTCTAATGAGACGTTCTCAATGGTGGGGTCCCTTTTTTCTTCTTAATTTAATAAATGATCTTTAATCATGGTTAATGGAAGATAATTGTCATATTTACATAATATGACTAAGATGCAGGGTTGTGAATAAGATATTCCTTTCTTTCAATTGCTAATTCCTAGTAGGTCTTGTACCTATGTTGCATTGACTCTAGTAAATGGATGAAGTGTCTGGGTCAGAAGTGCATTGGATTCCAACACTTAATGGATTCTCCAGTGACACTTTTTATGTAACATTTTCCTTTTCTCTTTGTTTAGACATAAAGGAACAGCTAATTTACACAAATTCATCAAAAAAACAGCTAATTTACACAATGAATACCATTATCAAGTGACAAAATTAGACTCTTTAGGTGTATGAGTTTATAAATAAAAAATATGGACTATGGAAGTCCTTGTTTTTCATCATGCAAAGTTAGATTCTCAGATGTGTTTGGGTTCTAATTATCATCTCCATGTTCTTGGTTTTGGTAGGCTACTATTACCTCCATTTTCATGTACACTTTGTGGTATTTCTCTTTTTCTTTATCCTATGATTGTTGTTTTACTTGCTATTTAAGTGCATCTGCATTTTTGTTGCAGGATACATTGGCAGATGCAGGGGCAATGATCTCAGAAGTAGGTACAGTTGAAACATTTGGCAATGATGATGAAGCAGTCCATGCAGTTGATGAAGGCGCTGTGGTGTGTTTATGTTTTTTTTCTTTTAAGTGCAACCTTGCTTTTTTTGTATCTTGCTTCTTTATTAATTTGGTATAGTGGAAAATCACTAGACATTCATTTGACCCTCTTAAGGTATAACTCTTAGATACAGGGAATTGTTTTAACCATGGTTAGCAATTTCCCGAAACATACTGAAAATTTCCCTTGCCCAAGGGGGACAAAAACATCATGGAATAAAAATAATTCTAAATATCTCTTGATATTTCAATTTTGATATATTAACAAAATCTTCAATTCGTTATGTAAAAATTTCCATTTTTTTTGTAACATATTGGGGATATTTCTTTATTGATACAAATAGTTTGTAAGTGAGAGCGGATAAAAGGAGGTTAGATTTTTTTTTAGGGGGCATTCTTTTTATGGATTTTGAGAGGGGGGAAAGTTGGTCAATGGGATTTTGATTCCTATTGACCAAAAATCCCATGTTCTTTTTTCAGATTTATGTGGGGACTAGGGAAAGTTTATTTTCCTGGGTATTATTTACTTTGGTAAGTGATACCCATCTCCTAGGTGGGTAAATAACTTTCCCACCTTAGGGGAAAGTTTCCAACACTTGAAAGGGACAAAAATGCCCCTTGTAATAATGGATTTTTATGGATAAAATGGTCATTGCCTTATTTACATGGGAAATAAAAGAACATGGGTAAATGCACTTACTTGGATAAATCTTTCCTAAGAAACAATTACTTGGGTAAGTCTATTTACCTGGGTAAGTAACTTACCGAAATGTGAACGGGGCCTTAATTTTATATTGTATTGGTAGTTTTTATTTATTTATTTATCATTTTTATTTAATGCAAAATTGTAACTATAATTTTTAGTTTTAAGATTAGTGGGTCCTACTACCTTGTGTTATGGCTGAACATGTAGAGATGCTACCATGTGTTATGGCTCAACAGATGGTGTTTACTAAGTTCCATTTAGAGGGTCAAATATTCTAGTTGGACAATGCAATGGTGACCTAAATGAATTCTTTGCATCCCATGGATCTCTTCACCGTAGTTTGTATGTTAACACCACAATAAAATGGTGTTGCAGAAAGAAAATTTAGACACCTTCTTGAAGTAGCACATGGAATGATGTTAACATGGATGTACCAAAGCGGTTTTGGATGGATGCTATGCTTGCAACTACTTATGTGGTCAATCATATACCCTTCAGAATGCTGAACTTTCCCATCAACTCTTATTCCCACAATTACCTCTGTTCTCCATTCCTATGACTATGAGAGTCCTTGGGCTGATCTTTTGTTCATGAATTGTCCTCTTCTCATGGTAAGTTGGACCCTAAGTCTATTTTATGCATTTTTCTTGGTACTCTACTCAGAAGGGTTATCATTGCTTTTATTTGGTCACTCGTCCCTACTTTGTTTCTATGGAAGTTTCTTTCTTTTAGTTTGAGCCTTTGTACTCGCTTCTCTTCAAGGGAGAGTTGTGTAGAGGAGAAACAGGTTTGTTAGGTTCATCTTCCATCTTGGATCTTGTTCCTTTCCATGTCTTCCTACGTAAGCGTCATAGAGATCAATAGTGTTCTAAGGTTGTGGAGCTCTTAGATACTATTAACCAACATTGACAAACTCATGGGAGGTAAGTCCACCTCAACTAGGTACTCTCATTCCCATTGATGATCGAGTGGATGACCTTGACATTCCTATTACCTAGAGAAAGGGTGTCAGGTCATGCACTACAAAATACTCCATTACCCATTGTATGTCCTATGATCATGTTATAGAGGCTTTAACATATCTTGAATGAATAGATGCTATGAAGGAAGAGTATTGCTTGAAGAGGAAGTTTCTTGTAGGAGGCATAAGGGTGTAAAAGAAGTCTATAAAAGGAGAAGAGTATTGTTAGAAGAGGAAGTTTCTTGTAGGAGGCATAAGGGTATAAAAGAAGTCTATAAAAGGAGAAGAGTATTGCTAGAAGAGGAAGTTCTGTTGATTCTCTTAATTATTCAGTGAAGAATTGTTCCTCTTCCCTTTTTTGACTTTAATTCTTTTCTTTGAAGTTTATCTAAATGTGATTTTTTTCTGAACTATGCCAGTTGGTATCAAAGCCCAAGTTTGATCTTTCTTTGGATTGTGCCTCCTAAGAAGAAACAAGTGACTCACATCGTGGAGCATGAAACCAACAACAAAACACAAGAAGAGTTGGCAAAGTTGAGAAGATAAGTTGATGCACTTTCTCAGGAGTTGAGATTGCTATATTCTCATTCTAAAACAGGGGATAGCAACTCTGACGCAAGTGCCTCCACTCGTTCCTTTTTACCATCAAGACAAGCAACCAGATCAGTTGTAGTTACGGGTGGTGACTAGAAACAACGGGTGTTGGTGTGAAAATTTTAATAAATTCTCATGCAACATAGTTCACTCAATCAAGTAATTGAGTTTTTATTATTTTGGGTAAGGCCCATTTAGGGTATTATACGGATTGTTCCCCTTAATTACATCTCCACAAGAAAGTAGAGAACACCTTTTGATTCTAACTTAGAGAAATGAATGCATAGAATAAAAGGAAAGAACAATAGAGTACTTCTTAAAAAAGAACTTTTCATTTGCATTTTTTTTTACATCAAGTGTACAAGAATGAGAAGAAAAAAGAAAATACAATTGAGAAAATTTACAATAATACATTTATCTCTTTCTTTCCTTTTTGATACAAAGAAGATTTCCTTCTCACTTCTTTCTTCACAATAAGCTGTAGTCAATTAGATGAAATTCTGACTGTAGATAGCCTTAATCCTCCGGATTTTGTATGCAAGAAGGGAACTGTAGTCAATCAAGTTGAATATTTGGTTGTAGACGGTTTTTATCCCCTTGTTCTTCATTTTCATTTTGAAGAAAACTGAAGAGAGGAGAGCTTGAGAGTTCGACAATGAGGGTCTGAGACTGAGAGTTTCGAACCTAACCTCTCTCAGCACCCTAACACTATTTTATTAAGATAGGTTTGAATAATTACAAGGAGGCCCTTAGTTGGGCAAGAATTTACAAAGAACTTAATATAGACAGGATGGGCCCAGAATWAGGCCCATTACAGAAAAACATAAATAACAAGAAAGAATAAACAGCCTATGGGCCATTCGGCCCATCTTCTCTACACATTTGAACGGAACCATAATCAACCCTTAGAAATTAGACTGTAGATGGTTTAATCCCTAACTTGTCTTGATAGAGGGACCATAATCTACCAAGTAAAAGCACCTGGATGTAGATGGTTTATTTCCCTCTATTTCCTTTCTTAAAAGTAAAAATAAAAGGGAGAGGAAGAAGGATACATAGCAAAAGACATATATAGGAAGTATTCCCGAAGAGGACTTTCCTTTTCCTACCTGTATTAGTGAGATTTATTTTCCTTCCATGTCTTCCCTTGAGAACTTCTCTTTTCCTCTCTCTTTATCTTGGATTTTCTTAAGAATCTCTTGAGAGTTAAGACATAATTTTCTCCGAAGAGGAGCGCCCTCTAATTAACTTTAAGGAGTTTAAATAGGGAGTAGGGTAGTTATGCAACTACCCCCTCCCCCTAGGTGAAGGACACCTGTCCCTACTACTTAAAGAGTGGGAACTCCATATGGGACACCTTTTTTCAGTTTTGATGATTTAGTTAGCACACTAGCCAACCCACTTATTTGGGTTATAAATTATTTAAATATTATTTGGATTAAAAAAATAATTCAATAGTAGGAAATAGGTTTCAAGATTGAGATTCCCAAAGTTTCATGGAGGTTCCTTCACTTGTTCTTTATCATCATCAAGGCAAGAAACCAAATTGGCTACAACTGCGGGTGCTGAATATAAGCAGTGGGAAACAGATCTCAAGATTGAGTTCCCAGAGTTTCATGGAGGTATAGCCCCAAATGAATTAATGGACTAGAGTTCCATGGGGGAGTTATCAATTTTAGAGTTTAAAGGTAAAATCAATTCTTATGAATTAGATTAATATTGTTGAGGATCGCAACAAGAACCTTACGTGGCCATTCTCCTTAACAAAAACATGTTGATTGGAATAACCCTCCAATCTTTGATGAAGAACCAATTGTTAAGGATGAATCTTCCATCATTCACAATGAATTTCAAAATGATGGAGATAATATTTATCATCTTGGGGGTTTTGATCATATTGTCTTCGTACAAGCCTACAAAGATCCTTATTGGCAAGCAATTGTACAATGTTTAGAATGTCATTAAAGGAAGTTTATGTGAAGTGCAAGAAATATATTTCAAAATATAAGGTATATAGTGAAGAAATCTCAATTTGTATTGGAGGTTTACACTACCAATTATCTATTAGAAGGTTAGAAATAGAGAAAAACAATGGAAGCACAAAACCATATGTTGGTGGTCTCTTAGATGGTAACATGAATCCAAGGGTTGGATTCTCTTCAACCTGGGGAGGATGATGTAGTATGGGATTTGGCCTAATTGAATAAACATTTACCAAGTTGGCTTTTGATGACACATCTTAGTTCACATTTACCAAGATAGCATCATTATAGGATTTTTGTATCTATCCATCTTGATTCAAATTTACCAAGTTAGCATGATAATGGGATTTCGAAATTTGTCTTTAATTAGAATTTTTTTTGAAGAGATTTAGTAGGATTCTAATAAGGAGTGCTCAATTAGATTAGGAAACTTTCTTATAGGAGGCATAAGGGTGTAAAAGAAGTCTATAAGAGGAGAAGAGTATTGCTAGAAAAGAAAGTTCTGTTGATTTTTTCTTAATTATTCAGTGAAGAATTGTTCTTCTTGTCTTTCGACTTTAGTTCTTTTTTTTTTTTTGAAGCTTCTGTTAATGTGATTTGTTTCTGAACCATGCCAAAGTTCCAACATTTTTTTTTTCTGCATAGAACTGAATGACATTGAAGTCCTTGGAAATACATCAAACACCTTTATATAATCTGCCTAGACTATAGAGTTCTACCCAAAAGCTCTCCTTATGTCTATACGAGTTAGGCCCATACAA